GTTTATTTTTAGGGGGAAGGGATTAATATGGTAATCTATATGGTACTGCTTCAACTTGCTGCGACACTAGTCTGACAGATCGGGCATTGGACGCATGCATCAGCACTCTAGGTTGGACATCTGAAGGCAACAAGCTCTTTTCAGGGAATTATGAGCAGACTTGTGACACCGGTCCTGAAAGAGGGTGCCTCTACACTCTAATCCTTCTTTTCCAAGGTAAGGAATGCAAGTCTGCACCAAAGTGGTACACTCGAACTGGGATATCCTAGCGAACAGCCATCTTCGAGACTCTGAATTTAAAAGCTCTCCGCCCACTGGCTGAACCTATGCAGCTGAGAAACACCAAGGCGTGCAAAAGCGCCACAAGCAGGGTCAAAGCCTGGGTCTTTAAAGAGCTTCCGTTTTAAAAATGCTGCATTGGATGAGGCAGGAATGTAAAGGGTTTAGGGTTTGGGGNNAAAAACCTGCATGACCTCAATATACTATAGTACCATAATTTCCCCTATATAAGGTACTTAGGATCATGCAGGATCTTTAGTATCCACGGTTGCATGAGGCACGCGTAAGATGTTGACCCATGATGAATAAGCCCCCTCCTTTTGAGGGCCTTAATATTAGGATCCCTAGTATAAGCCCTATTAAAGGGAGGGGGTCTCATGAATCACAGGTCTACATTACCCTATAATATACCATACTGTACCATAATCTACCATAACATACTATTATATACTATAATATACTATCAATAAGGTCTACATTCGGGATCCATACACTTGTGGGAAAGCCCGGGCTGCAGCAAGGCTTCAGGGTTGTGACTTGCATGAATCAGGACTTAAGCGAGGATCCGGCCAAGACAAGATTTAGGGTTTAAGGTCTAGGGTTTACGGTTCAGGGTTCAAGGTTTAGGGTTTAAGGTTTCGCATTTAGGGTTCAAGGTTCAGGGTTTAGCCCCAAACCATCAGGGCAACAGAAGTGTAGGTAGGGATAGTGGGAGCACCTACAAGAAGGCAGGCATTCGTTCACCCTAGGATCCACATGGCCAGCCTAGCTGAGGCCATCCAAGGAGCACTGGATGTCGCACTTCACTGTGCATGACCTTCCATATGATCTTCCAGATGCCCGCCTTCATTATATGCATATAGATACATAGAGCAATTCAGGACTAACCTCCCAAACCCCGGCGCCAAAACACCCATCACCAAAAAAAAGAAACTCCAAAACCCTGAGCTCGAAAGGCCGGAGACAAAACAAAAACGCAGCCCCAACTCGCGAAAGCCCCCAACATCCACCTCGCTCTATTCTATTGTATTCTATTGTATTCTACTATATTATAGCATGTGCCATTCATTTCTTGTCTGAATCCCCCAAAAAGCCTCAACATCACCCTGCCGCGCAGCCGTCTTGCCTGGATTCAGGTCCTTGGACTGCGGGCCCACTTGGTAGAGGTGCGGCCGCTTGAGGACCTCCCTCTCTGGAAGGTCCTGAGGGGGGTAGCGTTTAGGGTTGAGGGGCTTATGGCTCTAAACTTTACCTGCCCCAAAGCTACCCGGAGCATCTTTCGAGGGGTCGATAAGTCTAAGGGATTAGCGGAGCCGAGGCATACCGTGCTTAATGCAAGCTATTCACGCGCTCGCAGGTTGGGCCCCTAATCCCTAAACCCTGTAACCCCTATACCCTCAATCCTACAACCCTAAACCCTTACCCTCTTTGCAGAGTTGGATGCTTCAGGCCGAGGACTTTGGACATCAGGGGTTGTCAAAAACTGTGTCCCTTTTTGGGGTGGATGTATACGTATGAGCTATAGTTTAGAATCTAGTATCCCTCATATAACCCCTATGATATTCCCCGATATAATCTCCCATATAACCCCCTTGTAAGGAGGTTTAGACTATAGCTCGTACATTTTCTTTGACTCCGAGACCGACAAGACCATACGTTTGACAACCTAGCACATGAGGTTTCCCCTGTAAGGCTCTACGGAGAGCCTCTTCCGGGAATTCACAACGAAGCCTGGCAAAGGAAAGAACAACTAATTCCCAATAACCCCTGAGAACCACCAAGATAAACCAACTGCATAAGCCTCACAACAAACTTGGTGTAGCTTTGGGATTTGGGGCTAAAGACCTATCTCTGTAACAAATCACCCCAGCATAATGGCTCAAGCCCGAGAGGACCCCCAAGTAGGTACCCCTAATTTTGGGAAACCCTAATCCCTATAAACCCCTAATATAACCCCAGTGTCCATTTCATTTTAGATGTTCTTTTCCATGTGATTCTCCATTATAGTAGTTTCCATTTTCTTTTCCATTATCCCAATATAATCCCTACATACTATAGTAGTTTCCATTTTCTTTTCCATTATCCCAATACCCTAATTTTGGGAAGCCCAACAGGAGCCTCAAAGTTAGCAGCTGGATCCTCGAGACCCAAACCCTTGGTACAACAGGGACCATCCGAACTTGGGATGCGGCTTCAGGCATAACGTTGCCGTAGAAGTATCTAGGGGTCTTGAAGGGGTGGCATTCCCCCTTACTTGCAAACAAAGTGGCTTTTGACTTAGACTCAGAGAGCCCTCAAACCCCAAACCCACAAGCCCCTCTCTTCAACACAGAAATTCGTAGGGTTTCTGAAGGTACGCGTACCCGTTGGGACCTCAGCGAGAAAAAAAAGAAGAAGCTGAGGTGCTTGTGCTCATCCCTCCAGACGACTCCACAATGAAACTATCATGAAACCACTTCCCCTCCTAAAACTCCCCCACACGGCCTATAATCAGTCTCCAATATAATGCCACTGTATGTTAGGGAGGCTGCTTATTCTTCGTGGGGTGGGGCGGTTCATGTTTAGGAGGTGGTGATTACACTCCAACCCTAACCTGCCTTGTCCGAGCACCCCGGAGGCAGAATAGGTATTGTACACAGGGCATTGAAGGTGAGCCGTATCCAGTCCTGGGCTCCAGAATCCCGCCGTACATGTCGATTTAAGGTTTAAGATTCAAGGTTTAGGATTAGGATTTGGAATTTAGGGTTTAGGATTTGAGGTTTGGGTTTGGGGTGTGGGATTTATCTATACTGTGTTGTATGGATCAGGTTGGGATGAGGTCCAAATTGGGAAGCATACTTGCGGTGACACAAGCATAAGGTGATCAAGGGGGTCGGGCTTGCTATCCTGGGCCAGGCAAGTTTGGATGTTAATAACATATGACATGAACAATATGAGCAGCCTGCCTCCTAATCATGGCGTGCTTACAGCAAGATTGTCAGATTATGATTTGCCTGTTCATCAGCATAAGGTCCTCCACAGACCGGAAGCAGCCGGGAATAGAGAGGTCATTCTTGCAACCACCAAAAGACCCAGAATTCTGAGACATTCCCAGTAGACTAAGTAAGGGTGCCAGAAGGAAACTGCTTTGACATCCTTCTGTTCGAGAAAGCATCTTCGTAGATGCTGGTGCCAGAGAATCCAGAAATGAAGGTATAACACCTCGGCACTCAAGGAGGGATAACGGAGGGGATGATTCTGTGGGACTGCAGCAGCTTGGACCATGAGGGATTAAAGGCATGGCTCAGCTAGGTATCCAATTAATATATAGTGGTTATATTGGGGTTATATTACGTTTATATTGGGGTAATTGGGATAATGGAAAAGAAAATGGAAACTACTATATACACAAGTATTTTAATTGGGGATACTAGCGTACCCAATATTGGGTTTAGGGCCCTATAATTCTATAATGGAGAATCACATGGAAAAGAAAATGGAAAATGAAATGGAAACTTTTAAAAGAGTATACTCGAAGTGATGATTCAGGTGCCCATGTGGTCTAGCTGTGGCTTTCCCGGCTAAGAACGGGGTAGAGGGTCGGCAATCTGATGGCCATGAAACCTGACGAGCTCAATAAGACTGAGACTGCTGACATGGAAGAAGATCCAATGGGAATGCCGTCAAGGACCTTTGGGATGTATATAGAAATATATGCCAAATATATATATATATATGTAGGAGTTGATTGTATGATGATGACACAGGGTCCTCTTCAGGGATTACATTGGGCATTTTCAGAAATACCCAGCTTCTGTAGCTGGAAGATTATTTGATTGACGTAGCGGATGTTGGTGTGGTTTTGTCTTCTTGGAAATGGGGGTGGGACGTTGGTTTCTCATCATGGGGCCTCTTTTAAGGTCTTTACCTTGTACTGACTAGACGTGACTACATGTTGGAGGTATCTAGGGGGACCCCGATGTGTAAGCAATGCCCATATAGATATCTAGATAGATAGATAGAACCCTAAATGCTAAACCCTAAACCCTAAAAACCCTAAACCCAAAACAGATAGACATATATATATATATGTATATATATGTCCACACCTCCTGGATCTCCTGGAGGCGAGTTGCACAATCATCAGCACCTGGACCATGTTGCGCCAGAACCTTTGCTGACGGGTTCTTGCATGGTGTGGGATTCCTAAACCCTAAACCCATCTAGACCCTAAGTCACCCCAAACCCTAAACCATTGGAGGCATGGGGGGTCGTTGTTCCGGCAGACCTGACCTCGTGGGGGAATCTGGCAAAACCTTCTGTTGAAGAAACCCCCTCCTGGGAGCCTAGAGTGGAACCCTCTTTTTTACTTTGGGGTCCCGGGGCATGAGAATCCCTAAGCCCTAAACCCTAAGGGTTTAGGGTTTAGGGTTTAGAGAACAGTCAGGAAACAAAAGCACCTCAAGATGAATGAGACCGGACCCTGGCTTGTTCAAAAAGGAAGTGGCGCTGCCTTGTTTTGGCCAGGTGGCGTGAACAGCGTGAACATGCACGCGCGCCGATAGTTCCAGCGGCCATGGAGCAGCAGTAATCTCTCAAGATATCTGAACCTGATTTGGGAGTCTCCCAAAATTAGAGGTACCATTTTGGGGGTCCCCAAAATAAGGGTAGTAGTATTTTGGGGTTACACTCGGGTCCCCTCATTTACAGAAACTCCCATGTGACACGGACGTATTCAAAACATGATGCGAGCTATAGGTTGCTTTCCTCACTCATATGCCCTTGCAGTCTGGTCGCAGTGGAATACCTGCTGACTGACATCCGTGCAATCCGGGCTAGAGGTTAAGCGCGAGCCTCAAGCCGTGATGCACCAAGCAGGTTCAATCCTTCACATGAGAAACCCCAAAGCCAAGAAAACCCTAAATACCCACTATTAGTGACCACATACCCCTACTTAAGGCTACAAATGGAGGGCCCTGGAACACAGGTGTACCCAAGGGACCAAGCTCTTCTTCGTTGGTGGCAAAACAGCTTGCTGGCAGCAACAGTAATGTAGTGGCTTCCGCAATCAGAGAAGCAATCGGGGACAGGGGTAGCCAGCAGCAACAATAAAAAGCAGCGGTGGTGGGTAGAAGTCGGGGCAGCAAGGCGAAGGATGAGCGGGAACAACATGTAGATGAATGATGGCAAGGAGATTATAACAGCAGGCTGCTTGTTGAACTCCCCGCTACTGAAAAGCATTTACTGTGCATGATGCCCGAAAAGGGCCAACGCCCACTTGCTCCGAAGACGACACAATGACGGCACGGGAGCGACCACATGCATGCATACGGGGCTTAACAGTGTGCATGTGTGTGCTTGACGCACTAGCAATACATCTGAGGATTTCCAAAATGGAGTCCTTCTTTTTATAATCCAACTTTTGGCTAAACTCCACTTTTTCGGGGACCCAAAAAAACCGACCGCACCATTTTTGCAAGCCCGCATATTGACAGTAACATCATGATGAAGTGCCCAGCTGCTGAGCGATTGCAAAGTCAGAGTTGTTCACGGCTTGCCGGCCTCACACTGATCGCGTCGGGTTTGAAACAAGCTGGCCTTCCTCTCTCTTTTATAACTACAAAGTTTAGAGCATGCAATTTAGCTAATTAGGGACGAAACTGTATATGTAGCACCGTTTGGGGTGTGGTCGGGTGAGGTCGTCGTGATATGCCCGGTTTTCCTGGGTCTTGGGTTCTCGGCTCATCTGGGGTAATCCAATACTCAACCTAGGCCTCCATCTACCCTCTATGTACCCTAAATACCCACTATTAGACTATTAGGGACCATCTACTCCTGTTTAAGGATACAAACACAAAGGGCCCTGGAACATAGGTGTACCTTGCATTGGTTGGTGCTTTAGCAGTTGAGGTGTCTGGGTTACTGTTTACATTGATACCTGAGAAAAGAGAATGGGTGCAGCATCATCATCTACCATCTTCCTGAATATGTTTGTTCCTGAGACATGTGCTCCTCCAGACTTTCCAACTTACCCTGAAGCCTAAACTCATGGGGAATAGGACCTTTTTATGGGGACTCCTAATCCGAGCCCATAACATTCAGATGCTACCTAGGTAGGTGCATCGCGAAACACTAGTGCTGTCCATGATAGCATTAAGAAGTGACCACAAAAGATGACCCGGTCACTGACCATAATTCGGGATTTTCCCTACTTAGGGTGCTACTGTGTTCTGGAACCTGCGTTGGCAAGTACACTCATGTACACTCATGTGGTTCCTTCCAGCTGCGGCTGCGTGTAATCCAGGTCGCATGCAGCATCGGATGCTTTTGGATTCTGGGATGTGCCTAGGTCTGCTGGGACGTTGCGTATTTCGACACCCATAGACGTAGACAATTTTCCCCCCCTCTCCCCAACTTGGTTTCCGAGTATGCGCTGAATTCTACAAGGCCTTCTGACTCTGATCTAATTGGTTGTTAGTAGGGAATAAGGGAATATACTCCCTATACAGTAATCACTACCTAATGTAGTCCCGTATTGGGTGCTAACCCTAAGCCCTAAAACTTAAATTCAAACCTGAAACCCTAAACCACATACATATATATGTACATGTGCATTCAGTAATTCCCTACCGATCCCCAGTAAGTTATTCAAGCCATGCTGCTGCAAAGAGAAGCAACGCTCAGCCCAACAAACGTGAAAACATCTCAAGTCTTAAGCCCTGAGCCATTCTTATTTGTATTACTAATGTTATTACTCTAGTGTTATTACTGTATCAATATCATTTCTTTAGTACCATTTCAATATTACTATATAAATGTCATTATCACTTATCACAACTACTAGTGTAGAACCCTCCCAGGACGCCTTCTTTGCCAGCGATGCCGATGCCGACCTGCGCGGTCTGAATCATCGGCACCTCAGCAGCGTCTTTTTAAAATTCAAAGCTGCTGGCGCAGGTTAGGATGTAAGATCTTGTACTTGCAATAACAGCTTAATAGCAAAATAACAATAATAACATTAATAATCGTGATACCAGTACTAATAGCAAGAGGAGCAATAATAGAAATACTCATAGTTGCAAGAATCGTAATAATGGTAAGAATAACGCATTCGTTCCGGAAGATTCCTGGTCACTTCGGATCCCCAAGCATGATATAGGGCATACTCAGGAAACTTCCTTGAATCATGTCCAGACTCCGATCCATGAAAGCGTTTCCTTAGGAATGCGTGTTGAACCCCCGGTATATACACCCAAACTTATGACTTGAGCCCTCTTTACCCTAAACCCTAAGCCCTTCACCCGATGTCTGCCTGGAGCATGGTCCACAATCATGACGTACTAGATGTTAGTAGGGAATAAGGGAATGTAACACCTCTACAATCCCTATGTAATATATTCCCACGTTCCCTACTGAGAACCAATAAGATAAGTGCAGTTTTGCGTGGGTGCCTTGAAAAAAGGGAGGAACATGAATGCGAAAACGATGGCTGTGCAACTCAGTGCCAAGTGAATCAGATTCCCCTACACTAAACCCTAAACCCTAAACCCCCTGTACTGTAATTAGGTTACACGGACAATGCGCGACGCTCGCAACACTATTTCATGCCGGTGCCCTGCAAGAGCTCCATGCTTCAGGACTTGCAAGTCTGCCCACTCAACTTCTCCCCAAACCCTGAGCCTAAACCCTAAATCCCTGAACCCTACCCCCTAAATCCCCAAACCCTGATCCTAAACCCTAAACCCTAAACCAAGCGGGCCAAGCTTTGCGCTTGTGCCCCTTGCCAGCGCAGTGAGATTGCATGGCTCTTAGATCTGTGGAATTCAGCTGCGAGGCGACTATGGGGAAGAAAGGCAGTGGTGGGGGAGTTTAGGGTTTAGGGTTTAGGATTCAAGGTTTACGGTTTAGGGTTTTAGGAGGTTTAGGATTTAAGTTTAAGGCTTAGGGGCACCATAGCCAAGGAAGATGCCTTAGGCGCTAACCAGACAATATGCACATCTGACTTTGCCCATTTGGTGTTACATATGTATACACCGTTCATACACAAAGATATATAGTAGTTTGCAAAAATGAGGGGACTCCAGTAAAGACCCTAGAATACTATAGTCCTTATTCTGGGGACTCCCTAAAAAGGTGCCCCTACTGTTGGGAAACCCTAATCCGTATAAACCCCTATACAACCTCAGTATCCACTCCATTTTCAATTTTATCTTCCATTTGATTCTCCAGTATAGGGGTAAAAGGTACCGTAATCTTGGCAAACCCTAAACCCCTGTATATACCTGTATAACCCTTTGAAAGGTTCCCCTAATGTAATACTTTCTTATGGCATCACGCCCGGGTACATCATTCGCGCCGTCACCAATGCCCAGCGTCACCGGAGTCGGCTTTACCTTTGGTGAGTGTAGGACTCCTCCTAGGGTTTAGGCTTTGAAGTTAGAAGTTGAGCGTTTAATCTGGTTGATACTGTGAATACTGAGAATCCTGCATGACCTTAGGTACTTAGGGTCATGCCGGATTTTTAGTCTCCACCACAGAATAAACGGAAAACCACAAAAAGGCTGAAGTCCTGAGAGCCAGGCCCAAAGGCAGCCAAGTTACCCTATCCCGGATGAACTGCACGAGCTCGGCCTACCGAGCACATTTCTATTGTAATGTAAGGATAGGTGGGGGGTGCCAAAAACTCGGGTTCACTTTTTGGGGAGTCCTAGTACCTAGTAGCCTCTTGGGGTCTATACTGGGGCCCCCTCTCTACGGAAACCCTTCAACACTTGAAAATCGTAGCTTTTTTCAGCAAATGTTGAGCCGTCAGCATTCTAAAGCCCCACACAAGCATCCCTTCTCCTGGGTTGCTGCTAAGGAACTTAAATTAAGTTACCATAATGGGTATATATAGTAAATAATAGGGTTTCCCCAATATAGTAACTTAATTTAAGTTCCTTAACAGCAACCCAGTCTCGAGCTTGAAGCCGCCGGCCCCAAGCAACAGAACATCTCAAAAGGAGGGATGACATAATCAGAATGGATTCTTCAGGAAAAATTGAGTATGGTGCAATTGTGCAACGACGGTGTGAGGATATGAGCTATAGTCTAAGCTCCTCGCATCCCCCTGAAAAGCCCTAGAACAATCCCCGAAATAATTCCCGAGATAATCCCCCTTAAAGGAGTACAATCCCCTGTATAGCCACCCTTTAAGGAGAAAAATCCCCTACAAAACCCTCCTCTAAGGAGCTTGGACTACTGCTCAAACCAGTTGTATTCACCGAGAAGTCAAGTCCAGAGCGCAGCTGCCTTCTGTGAGGGGCTCACCCGACAGGCGATCAAGACAGCACAGCCTAAATTACCGTTTTCAGGCTTTAGGGTTTAGGGCTTATAGGCTTTTGTAGGATTGAGGATAGGATTTAGGGCTGAAAGGATTTAGGCTTTAGAGGAGTTAGGGATGAACTGCAGCACAACCTAGCAACAGAGCTCTAGCAGCTGCCTGGCCAGAGGAGGCCCCCAAGCACTCTGGCTCACAACACTGTGACAAGGATCTGCGCAATGAGAGTCAAAAGGAAAACTCCATAACGTTGCGGGTAATCTTGGCATGTGTGAGTTGGGAAGGGGTCCACTGCGGCCAGAAAAGCTGGTGGAATAGTGCAGGAAGACGTCCTGCTCAAACATGTGAGGAAAGGCTCTTGGGCAGTCGCGTTTTTTAGATTATCAGACTGCTTCACGGGCATGAAAGAGACGTCAGGCTCCTACAGTGTATCGAAATCTGTTGGCATCTCCAGGGGCTCTTTGTAGCGTCTGGTGGGTATGAGCGCCATGCAGGCATGCTAATCGCTGCGTACATAAGCCATGCTTGTTCCTCCTAGCCTCATCTACTCCTCATCACACCGCAGCATGAATGTGTTCAGGAGCTGGTTTGTCAGACAACGTCTTGAAGTGCAGTTCTACGTTGGCTTTCATGGACCGAATGTTCGAACGGCATGTGTGAAATCAGCTCATTGGGTGCCTGATTCTTCTGCTGCGTGAGCCGCTTAGGATCTCTTAAGGCTTCAGCGCTGAGCTAGGTTAACATGCCCCAACACATCCTAAACCTTGTGCCCTGACCCCAATGGTGAGGCACAGCAAAGATCAGCGCTCCTTCAGCTCTTCACCTCAGCATGCCGCGGCGGAAAGTGGGAAAGCGATCCATATAAGCCCATTATGGTGTTTTCCATTTTATCCAGTATCCGTATATAGTCACTATACCGTTCCTATATACCCCTAGGTTTACAGCTCTCACATGAGCGATGGGAAAAAGACAGCACGTGCACATGCAACACAGGCAAGTAGCGCTCGCCGCGAGGTATCTAAAGGATGCCGAAAAGATGCGCTACAAACAAGCTGGGGGCGAAAGACCCGGTGTGCAAATAAAATATGGGCAACGAAGGCATGCTGCGAAAGAAACCAACAAAGAGGGGCAATGAAGAAACACTGCAAGCAAGACCGGTCGCGTGCAACTGAGACAAGAGCGATGGCGCTGCCCTTGAGCCAAAAAGAAGCCAAGAACAAGATAAACCTATGAATAATATAATTGGGTTACATTGGGATAATGGAAAATAAGATGGAAACTACTATAATGGGTTATATAGGGTTTATAAACCCTAAATAGTAGTTTCCATTTTATTTTCCATTATCCCAATATAACCCAATATATCCCTCATATCAAACAGTCGACGTACTCTACCGAGGCGCTCTCCCAGATCTCGGACATAGCCTTGCCTGTCACCATCAGCCTCACATTTCAAGCTGGAAGCATTGCTTGGCTGTTGGGTTAGGTTTGAGGTTCTAGCCCTTGACGCAGAGCAAACGCGAAGTCCATATCTATTTCAGCAAATGGGACACACCTCCTAATAACCCTTAAGTGATGATGTGAATGATGTGAGCACAAGCGCATCTGGCCCCACCTGTATATAAACCACCCAACTTGGAGACCCCTGTAAGACTGCATGACGGACAAGGTTGAGTCATGGAGTAAAACCCAAGTCTACCACGAATGAATCTGATCACTTGTAAGTCAATTCAATTGGTTTGGTGCTGAAGATATGGTTCGGACGCCTATCGGGGTGTGCGGGGGGTTGGAGCATTGGGTTCTAGGGCATCAGGTTACGAGATCAAAGAACGAAGACCAAGCCCTCCCTCAACAAGATTTGGGGTTTAGGTCTTTAAGGGTTGTAAGGGTTTCGGGTTTGGTGTTTTGGGCGGGATGTGCCGCCATTGCCGGATGGCGCGGTGCAAATCTACCCATTCCCAGAAACTGACATGGAATCCCACAGTTCGCATCAAGGCTAGTGACTTTGAAAGGGCCACGTGGAGTTCCATGTGCCCTCTATTCCCAGATCGGGATACCGTTGCTCCAACATTCTTGCTACTAATGTGGTCCGCTATTGCTTTAATTTCCTGAATAAAATCTGACACCACTCCAGACACTCGAGCACGATGAGCGTGTCGAACCTGCACAAGCCCTAAAACCCAAAACTCCAACCCCCAACTCCTGAACTCTACAATAAACCCTATAAACTCTGAACTCTGAGCCTGCCTTCCCTCTGGGCTCTGCACCCTTCAAGCGCAAACCCTAAGCCAAAACCGAAGCCAGGACACGCTCGCTGCGAATCACTGCGGGTGTCCTGCAGATTTTCACATGTGTCAACACATCAACACATCTAGCTAGTCGGCCAGGACATCTTAAACTTAGTTAGTCTTGTTTCTGGGACCACTGACTCTGAGCCGTCTGTCCAGATTCCAAAGCCCTAAACCCTCAACCCCAAACCCTCAAATGGCGTGAGCAAAGGAGTCTGCCTTCGGCTGCGTCCAAAAATTCAAACAGTCCTGTGTTGGAGCCTCAGTCAGCGTGCTTAAATTCGGAAGAAGTTTCCAACACAATAGAAAGGAAGTTGGGAAATTAAATGAAAACTGGGGTTCTACAAGGGTTTATACGGACTAGGGTCACATGAAGTTGGGTTCTTCCAAAATTGTGAGCTTCCAAGCAGACACTTCCACCCGGGACGCTTATCCTGACAAAGGCCCTTGCTCCTTCCAAATGTGACATTGAACACTACATTTGTTGGTCTTGATCCCTCAGCACATGATCGCCTTCTCACCGCCATCAGATCGACTCCAATGCCACCAGCGCCGGTCCTTTCGGATGCGATTGTAAATTTACTTCCTCATTGGGATACTATGAACAGAACTGTAGTTTGATGTTCCTTGTGGGCTTAATATACAAAACCTATGACAAAATGATGAAACATATATTGCGATGTTTCTTACGGGGTTGAAACATATTGCAGATTCAAAATGATGTGCTCAGAGTTTTGGGCCAAGCCCCTTGCTTAATTCGAAGCCTGGAACCTGTCAAATTGACTTTTGTCTGCACTCTGGCAGTCTCTCCATGCTAGCTCAGGATACTTCACGCCTTGCAGTTCTGATCTGAAGGTACGTACCCCAAGAAAGGCGCTGCGAAACGGAAATCCTAAAGCCGTGCCGAAGCTTCTGTACACATCAGACATAGGACGCTTCTGACATCTTCATCTCGAAGATTGCGCGGACATTTGAGCAGCAGAATTTGCATTTCTTGGACCTCTCCGCCGGAAACAATCGCCCTTGCGAAGAAAACATTTTTTCTTGATGTAGGTGGAATTTCCCAACATTGACAACCAACCTTGCCAGACTGTCCTACGATCCAGGGTAGGGGGCCATTTCTAATTAAGGGCTTCGGGGCGACTCCTTGAAGACCACTCCATGCGGGCCAACTCTTACTGTTCATAACATGCCGGATATTGGGTTACATATGGGTTGGTAAATACGGTTGTATAGACAGGGCTCTATAAGGGCATGTACGGATACGATAGGATACATGGGACCCTGCCTTTGCAATCTTCCCCAAGTCCTCGCCGTCGCTGGTGTCCTCATCGCTGGAATCCTGCTTGCACTTGGGCATCCACGTAAACCCTCAACAACATAACCATTCAAAACTCACCAACAGGGACCCGCCATCTGCAGATAGAAACCAGGCGCCTTATTGCTTGCATGAGGCTTCATGGCTTAGAAAGGCAATGCAGCTAGAGGCTACAGGCCGTAAGGGTTCAATAAAAATGTCCAACTGCCTGTTTTCAAGGCCGAGTGAGCACTGCAGTTAACTGCGTTGCTGTTACGGAGCTTAAATTAAGTGACCACAATGGGTCTATATAGTAATTCATATAGTTTCCCCAATATATAGTAACTTGAATTGCTTCCTTGACTGCAACCCAGTTAATACATAATCTATTCAATTCTTTGATTTTTCCGTAGTTAAGAGAGTGGACCTTTGATGACCCTTTGTACTTATGTCATAGTCACTCCTATCATTTGACCTCCCTCATGGCTAAATATGAACACTGGAGCTCCAGGTGGTAGTGCTTTTCTTCATATAATTACAAGGGATGCCCCAAGAAGGGACCACTACTACTGAAACAACCCCCTTTCAGGGAGAAGCCTTTGCAAAGAATATGGGTGGACGGTCTTCATCAAGGCTTGAGTTTAGGCCCGTAATTATAACAATAGCATTCATAACAACAAAACTGAGAAAACAGTAATACTAACAGTAGTTGTAATGGTGATTATCTAGGCTTGATCCAGTTTATCCTGAAACACACTTCCGTGAAAATCCACCATTGCAGTCAACGACTGCAATGATACCTACTTGGAGACCTAAGCCTCCAACTCAAGACTGTCAACTCTGAATCCTCAAGCCCTAAAACCCTACAAGGCCCTAAAGCCTGAAGGCCTGAAAAACCCAAACCCTACTGCAAAAGCAAGCCCCCAAGCCAACAACAAGTAATGATCATCGAAGAAAACACGGGCCTGAGGCGCACCCCAATGGCTCTGCAGCTTCTCCTGAGAGATCTTATCCCAGGGTTTACAGTTTAATCTTGAGGGTTTAGGGTTTGGGCTTGAGGGCTTGGGGGTAAGGCCTTAGGGTTGTGGGATAGATTTTTAAGAGCCCTATGAACCCTATAAAGATTACATGGTCATGGCTTGAATCGGCTTGAAAGAAACTATGTACAGTAGGGATTATGGCCTAAAATATTTAAAGATTACTCTCAGGAATATCCAAGCAGTAGGCATTTTGTAGGGGTAGATGAGGGGGTTCACAGAACTCGCGGGCCCGAACATCAATCCAAGATATACATACAGACAGACAGACAGACAGACAGACAGACAGACAGACATGTGCATCATGACCCTCATCATAAAATGGACTCCCGAAAAGGGGTCAAACAAAATTGCAGACCCGCCATATCGGGTTATGAAAGAAGATATTGCGATGTAATTGGTGGACCCCCCGCCCAGTAATAGTGACCGTAAGGGATAATGGTGACTTCCTCTTATAGTCCTATTATACCACTTCGTGGGGGCCCATCTAAGCGATACATAAGGGTCCGGGTTTGCAAAAATCGGGGGCCTCGTTTTACTACACCAATCATGAAGCATCAAATGGAAAGAACATTGGGAGCTGTAATGGAAACTAGGGTCACATAGGGGGTTGCAATGAACCGTGGAGTGTTTCTATGTTGGTTGAACCAAGAAACATGAAAGTTTTCTTCCAGATAGCCAAAGAGAAAAGGACAATACAATCTTACTCCATATAGGGTACACACCTCAAGAGCACGCTCAACAAAGACCCTACAGAAGCTTCAGTTACGGGGTTTTGCTATGACTCCACAGCTAATGACAAAGTAGCAGTCATGATTACGGAGCTTACTTTACCTATTGCACCTACTTGCTTCTGTTTTACTGAGACTTGCCAGGCGTGGCGCAAGATCCAGTCCGCCATCAGGGTCCAGGATCTTGATGTCCAAGGTGCTGTCCAGCACTTTTGTGCTGTAACCTCCCGACAGAATACTGAGAATCAGAATGACCTTCGCATATCCAGACAATGTATCCTTCATGCGGAGCTCTTGCGCCGCCAAAATGGGTCACATGTTTTACGCCTCAAGCTAAACGGATCCTCGTTCATAAATGAAGTGTCACATCGAAGGTCATCGGCAACTCATGCTTCACTAGCATTCCTGCCAGCTGCGGGTTAACGAGCCCTGCGCTGTGAAAGAAGGACCCTGAAGTACATACAACAATGCAAATAAACATGCCGTCTTGTAGGCCTCGCTGTTGTGAATTACGAACACTCAGGGAATTCAGTTTTGCGCTGCTGCGACAGCATGCCAGACTCTACCGCACCGCTGCAGCATAGCACTAGAACAGACATCTAGTACAAATATCCTGGAGTCCACAAGTCTCTTTGGGGGGCCCTCAGGAAAGGGAAGTAAGATGGGGCTAAATTCAGGGTTGCAAAGATTGCAGAAGGAATGTGGGCATGTTAGGGCCATTTCAGGCCCTTTGCTATACAGACAACCCCTGCCCAACTTCAAACCCCACACCACACACCCCAAGCCCCAAGCCCTCAGCTCTCACACCAGTCTAACCGAGTTAAACCCAAACAAAACTCCCGTAGCGCCTATATTTCGTGCCGTTTCGAGCTTATCGCCGGTCAGGACCCAAAGCCTGCTGCAGTTGAAAACAAAAAGCATTTCAGCACTTCAGGTTGTGAACTGATGCCATGCCCTATGGAACCCTTATTTAACCAGAATGATCCATGTCCCAAAGATACCTAAGCAGGGCCTAGAGTTGAGGCCACGGCTCAGGGCTTCTGGCTTAAGAATTGTGTCCGAATGTTGGCGTGCGGATAAGTGTCGGGCCTGAGGGATGTGGCATGGAGGAAGGAGTTTCCTAGGGATCCAAATCGCCCAATGAAGGTAATATCATATATCTACAAACTTTAGGGCCCAATGTAGGTACAATTGGCATACTTGGACCCCTAGGAGCGACAAACACCATGCCATAAACACGTCTTGAACAGTATTAGCTATATGAGCCAGAATCTACACTTGTAGCATTCCCCGTCATAAGCCCGACAGTATCATACTCCCCCATATAGCCCCCTTCAGGACTTTAGACTCTAACCCATGTGGGTCCTAAACAGGTATCGAGCATTTTTATCTCTTATGTAAAGGCGCTCCGTGTTTGGGCTCCAGAAGCCACTGGAGCCACTCTGGGGGTGATGCCCGTACTTCGGTTGACATCTACATCGAGTTCCTTCTCAGAATTAGAGCCCCTGAGGGACTCTAGATACCCGTCCAATTAGAGATGGTATACGCGTTCTGGAAGACAATTCTGTGAGGACCCTCGGTTGGAGGAGCTGTGTCTCTGAAACCAGACGTCAGCAAGCCCGTCTTGATTGCTTTCTTCTGGATCACACATGAGCTGCGTAGTCCAAATTCGGTATCCCCTCCCCTGTAATTTCAATCCCTGGGGCCCTGGGGCGAAGATTGCGTGAAAAACTGTATCAGCCTAGCTTTCCCACTTGATGGGTTTTCAAACACATACATTGGCTTGTTCATAGGACAGACATGAAACAAAAGGACAACGTGTTTTTTGCGCTGTAATTGGTTGATTCCAGGGTTCGTGGGCCCGCGCGCACAAGAACTAGGGAAAGCAAGAGAAATCTTTAGCCTAGGCCCCCGTTGAAATAAAGCTCACCAGCATCTGGTATGATCTGCTAACAGCTTTTTCCTACAAAGTTGTGCTTAGGTCGGCTCTTGAAGTTGATGTGTAAGTCCTGACTAGCTTGCATTTGGCCTCAAAGGAAGCCTCTTCGACATCACGCTCCCAGAAAAATGAAAACCGAACTCACCAATAAATCATTCTAGGCCCAGACTTCAACAATCCACCCTGGAATTCCTTCAGGATCAGTCGCTCTAGCACCTCTATCTAGATTTCTCACTATGGGGCCGACATAGCCTGCGCGAGAACCAAGAACGCGTAAGAGTAGTCTTGTTTTCGGTTGCTGAGCAAGCAAGACTGGACCATCGTTCCCTCCAATTCTGTAGCCAAAACGGGAAACGATAACATGATCTCACTCTGTCATAGGGACTTTAGCTATATCATCTCTGCTTCAAATACTAGAGACATATTGAGAAGCACGCTGCTGCAATCCAAGCTGCTTGACCCCGGCATCGCGTATGTGCTGAATGGTGTCGGGAACGCCATCCTGCTGCCAAAAATGGATGCTGAGGACATTCCAGCTTGGTCTTCACCGAGCTCCATACTAGTGTACCTCTTTGACTTTAGTGCTTTGGCCCCATGATTACTGAAGCCAGTTGGTCGACCCGTTGGAACAGGAAGCATCCAAAAAGATCTTGCTTAGGCCATAGTCGTCATCATCATTTCTGGTGCTAGCGGTGGCGCCGCTGCCGCTGCGGCGGTTGCTGCTGCTACCACCCGCTATTCATGTTTGGTCCGGAGCGCGCACCAGCCTCTCTAAGGACAACCATCTCAGTCAAGAAAGCAACAGGATTCTCAAATACGAGCTCACAGCAAAAAAGGCGCGAAACTCGCAGACCATGAACGCATGAAGCCAAGTACGGCCGACAGCTTTTGAAGTTCAGCATGTTGCAACAAACAACACTGCAATCTGGTTTGTGAGCACGTCACCACACACCTCGAGCAAGGTGCCCGTGCACACGCCGCAACAGTGATCCCACACACGCCCTTCCCTCATGACACTGTATGGGAACATGCTACGCAGGAGCTAATTAAAGATCCCCTGCACTTTTCAGCCTGGAGCTTGTCTTCGATGGCAGTAGCTCCGAGAATTTTCAGACCCTCCTCGACATCGTTCGCCACTCTCCTTTTCATTCTGGCTGTTTTCACATGGGAGGGATCTGCCGAAATCAGGACTACCCATTGGACTACTTTTTGCTTGTTAGAGCTGGCTTGGTTGTCGCTTAGTGTACTTCCCTTGCTTCAGGCTTCTTGGGCCATTGAGACTCAGGTCCATGCAGCCTAATGTCTTGGAGTGCCGTCGGACAAATGCCATGTTCTTGAGATGAGTTGGGAACGGACTTCGTGAAAGCTATACAAGGACTTCCAGCCTCCAATAGAGTAGTTTTTTTTGGTGGTTGAACCTAGTAAGATAATATTCTTTATACAAAATACTATACCCCAACAGGAGGATATAATCTTACTCTGTAATGGGTACCATAGTATCCCCAAATAAAATACTACTCAACAGTGATATAGTAGGACTAGAGGAAACGGAGTATAATCATCATGATCCCTCACAGGCACTATTACAGGGAGGGGCGGTTCCACCTAAGCTATGCAGGTCTTAGTTGCTGCCTGGACGATGCTGTTCGAGGCACCAGTTGCGCTCATATGTAGTATAGTCTAAACTCCTTAAAGGGGGTTATACAGGTTTCAGGGTTTAGGGTCTAAACTCCTTAAAGGTGGATATATAAGGGATTGCAGAGGAGAGTATTCTAGGGGTTATTAATCAAGGAGGATAAACGGAGTTCAGACCATGGCTCATATGGTGGAGGACTTTCTATAGTGCCGCTAAGGGGTTGCACTATTTGAAGCCTTATTTTCAGAGCAAAATAGTAATACAACAGTAATAACAACAATAAGAACAGTACTAATGGTAACGACAATGAAATAGCTGAAGCAATGTTTGTAATACTAGCAATCACCGTAGTATCGATAATCCCTTCCCTACTTTTAAAGCCCACCCCTAAAAGCAAATGCTTGAATTGTTGCATTATATACTATTCTTGGGAATGTTTAATATCAGGGGGTGGGGGGTTTCAATATTAGGGGGAGGGGCGTATTTAAACCCTAAACCCCAAAAACCTCAACCCCAAACCCTAAAATCTTAATCCCAAAACCTAAACCCTAAACCCTACAAACCTTAAACGGCCCTAAGCCCGGATTACTCCACATCCGCTCCAAGCGTCTCCAACTCGAGGTCACGGTTTGTCGTGGCTCTCTGTGCCTTCCGAGGTGAATAAGAAGGTTTCAGGGGTTTAGGGGTTAAGGGCTTAGGTTTGAATATGAAGGTTTCAGGGGTTTAGGGGTTAAGGGCTTAGGTTTGAATATGAAGGTTTCAGGGGTTTAGGGGTTAAGAGTTTAGGTTTGAATATGAAGGTTCTAGGGACTTAGGGGTTAAGGGTTTAGGTTTGAATAAGAAGTTTTCAGGGGTTTGGGGGTTTAGGGTAACCCCGGCCACCCAAAGTAGGGCCATAATATGACTATATGAGCCATTGTCTAAACTCCTAGTATCCCCCTTAATACCCCTATAATAGTCCCCTATATAATCCCCTATATAACCCCCCTTTAAGGAGTTTAGACTACAGCTCATATGTAGCTATACCATGGCTACAGCAGGACCCATCTCGGCTAAGACCATGTATCTATATGCAAAATACGATGACTATAAGTGGACCCCTCTTTTGGGGGGCTGATGCTACTCAAATCCTGATACTGACGGGGGATTCTCGAAATTGTGGTCAGTGTTTCGAGGGCTCACGGAGGATCCTAGCTGCGGGATGTGGGAGTTTGCCCAAGCTAGTGCAACTTAAACAATGGCCCAGCTGAGAATAAGAACCCAAATGAAAGGACTTGTGTTACAACTCGTTCCAAGACCCACATGTATATGAGGACCAAATATTCGTAGCTGGAAGGCCAAAGGGTTCCAAGGATGTCAGAATCTTTTGCGAGGGCTTGACGTTCCCCCCCCTCTCCCCGCCGAATGCGAAGCCCATGTCCCCTGTCGAGTGCCGAGATAGTTTCACCGGCAGTTCTAACTCCAGCTACATATAGGATTGATCAGTCTAGGTCGAACTTTTTTGCTCTACCTCTTTCCTAAACCCTACGCCTTTCATCCTAAACCCTAAACCCCCTCCGCTACAACTACCCCTGACCCTCCAAGCAGAAAGTCACCACCCAGGCTGCGGGTGTTAGTCCCTGGGCTTCTTGGACTTCAAGTCTTTACAAGGTTTAACAAGGCATCCCGATCCGTAGAACCCAAGGGTCCAAGTATCCAATAATTCGGTACTTGAGATTAATCGCAATTAATGTACAGTTTTGGTTGGATAAGTGTATGACTATTAAATACTTGAACCCTTAGATCCTATAGTCCGCCTAAAGTAGATAGAATATGGCTTTGGGTATATTATAACAAGATCCCCATATACCCCTTATTCTATCTACTTAAGGGAGACTATAAGCCCTAAACACTAAATAGTAATTTCCATTTTCTTTTCCATGATCCCTGTATATCTGCTTAAGGGGGACTATAAACCCTGCCTTCCCGTAATCCTCCAGGAATCTGTTCACCTCCAGGGTTAGGCGCGTGAGAACATGGAAGTTTCCCAAAATTACGGGTACCTTTTTTGGGGTCCCCGTAATAAGGATTATAGTATTGTTGGGTCTATAGGGATAGAATTTAGAGTTTAGGGCCTAGGGTTTAGGGTTGGTACTTTTTTTAGCCCTTGGAATGAATCAAGCACTTAAGGAGGACTCTGAAAGGGGGAAGTGCTCTTTGATTGTTGGGGGTTACAGCCCCCTAATGGTCATCAAGTGCTAACGCTGAGCGGCTCTGTTATGTGATTTTACCAAAATCAGAAGCCGGCATATGAAACTTACGTTTCACTTGGTTTTGGAGAGCTTCTTGTGCTTTCCTGGTAGCAGCCCTCATGAAATAGATAGGTTTCTACAATCTGGACGCTCTCGAGATGATTTTTCTGCTTGCCATTGAAAAGAATTGCTGTGCGTGCTGTGTCAGTTTAAAATGTATGCGTTACTGACTTCTGCTGTATGCCAGGCATTGCCAGTCCTCAGAAGTGGGCCCACTTGTAGCAAGCTTCAATCAAAAGCAACCACAGGAGGGGAGTTATTATTTAGGAGCCTTATATGAGACTGTTCTCCATAACCCCGAAGTACCGCTTGTACACCCATGATATAACATGGGAAGCTCCCCGTAGCTGGCCCTAACTTGAATCTCTCCCCCTTGCAGTAACAGTTCTCACGATATGTAGTAAGGGTTATAATAGACCATGAATAAGACCCTTTTACGTAAGGGCAGCTACTGTAAAAGAGAATGATCAAGGACATCTCGAGGTGGGTAGTTATGAGGTGGGTACCCTTAACGGAGGCCTATGCAGACCTCATATAACCCCATTACCCCTGCACGAGCGTTATATGAGCCTTATATGGGGGTACTCACCCGTCAACGTTCAATTACACACCTGTGAGTGGCCTTCAAATCACATAGGAGTTACATTGATACGACTCGCATAAGGACACTTACTCCAATGGGGAATGACCCTAAACCCTAAAACCCGAAACCCTACAACCCTAAACCTTAATCCCCACTAATCCCTAAACCCCAAACCCTAATCCCTAAACCCTAGACCCCAAAACTCTAAACCCTAAATCCCTAATTTAAACTCTTTGTAACCCCATTGTAGTAGTTTCCAAGTTTCTCTTCGTAAACCCTAAACCCTAAACCCTATATGTACAGATTTGGAAACCATGACCTCGGCTTGGCCCAACTGTCGGGAGCCCAGGACTAAGGTCCGAAGACCTCTGAAGATAAGTGGTGCTTTGGGGTTTAGGGGGTTAAGGGTTTAGGGTTTTGGGCTTCAGGGTTTTTGGAGCTTTAGGGTGTTTGGGGTTCAGTGTTTTGGGGGTTTAGGCTTTTCTTCTTTTACGGTTTAGGGTTTTGGGGGTTTAGGGTTTTTGGGGTTTGAGGTTTTGGGGTTTAGGTCTTTGGGGTTTTGGTGGTTTAGGGTTTGTGGGTTTTCGGTTGAGGTTTGGCGGTATCTTGCGTTTGGAGTAAAATTTGCGCGCCGCCTCCATCGTATAATTGTCATTGACACGCGTAACTTCACGACAATCACTACCATGTTTGGACATACCACCCCTAATTAAGAGGGGTGGATAGTGGGGGATACCACGGAAATGTGCCCAGGCTCAAGTCAAACAAGCATGTAGAGGGTGTTGGACCAGTCTCACAAGTGCCACGCAAAGCAGATAATGATGACCAATGCTATTGCCATGTCCCAACTGGGCTCATTTCTGTACCCACCCGAGCTCTCTCAGAAACAGAACTGCGAGAGAACAAAAACGGGCGGGGCGGACAGTTTGGACAGATCTTAATGTGGCTGCATGCAATGTATAACAGCAAAAAGGGATCACCATGCGGGTAAAAACAACGCAGAAAAAGCATTCGCGATCATCGTCGCAATGGCCATAGCAATGGCAAGAGACTGGGGCTCCATGTGTATAAATAATACCTACATTGGGCCCCAATGTCTATAAATAGTACCTATATACATTGGGCTATTTGGAGCCCCAGGGCAAGAAACAGACTGCGGAACCAACAACCCTTCCACCCCTCGAGGCTGGTTGCTGAGCCTAGGCGCTTAATCTTCAAACTGAAGCCAGGGGTTAACCCAGTAATAGTGACTATAGGGGATTATAGGGATTATATTAGGGCCCTCTGATATTCTTATTATACCACTATTACAGGGTGGGGGGTCCTAAATCCTTCCTCAATGTCCCAAACTTCCCCAACCCCAGCGTCCTACAGTAGTTTCCATTTTCTTTTCCATTATACCTATATAACCCCATTTTAATACAGTAGTTTCCATTTTCTTTTCCACCCGACTCCTAAATCCTTCCTCAATGTCCCAAACTTCCCCAACCCCAAGCGTCCTTGGTTTGAGAACTCGTTCAAGTCCTCTTCCAGCTTTCTTGACCAGTTGCCTCGGGCTCGATCCTTCATCACCTGAGCTGAGAGTACGAGTACAGGGTTAGGTTTATTTTTTGCAGCATGGGGATGTTCAAACCTCAGAGGCAGCTTCAGTGACTGACGTGGCAGCCTTCAACAATCTGCAAGCTGAGCCGGGAAAATTTACAAAGAACCCTACACCTTAAACTTCCTAAAGCCTAAACCCTAAACCCTAAACCCTGGACGCAGCAAACCCACCGAAACACCACCTCCTGGGCTCAAGGCATTATCGGCACCCTTTACGAACAGGCTGTAGGTGTCGCTGTAGCCTCTCTGCAGGAGCGTTCATAATCTGAGTTGCTGTTAAGGAACTTAAAGTATATAAGCTACCATAATGAGAGTATGTATAATAACAAATAACAGGTTTTCCCCAATGTAGTAACTTAAATTAAGCTCCTTAAAAGCCCCCCAATAATGTTGATGGACCATCTTCCCACTGGACTTGAGATATCCTGAACCCTCAAAATCTGACATCCTCGTAATGACTGGTACTGTTGATCCACATATGCCAACCAATGCCAACATGCCCATGTCGTATTCATGATAAGTGCAGCTGCTATCCTCGGTGAATAAAACCTTCTGCTGATTTTCAACGGTCCTGCGCCTTTGGTCTCGCGAACTAGCACAGACATTCGCTTCCGCGCTGAAGTGAAGGCATTCGTGGCTACGATCTCGTACACCTTCTCTTCCTCCAAGGGCAGGGCTTGACTGGGTGGCTGTTAAGGAATTTAATTTCAGTTACTATATTGGGGGAACCCCACTAATTTATGTATATATATATCCATTATGGTAACTTAATTCAAGTTCCTTAGCAGCAACCCAGTTGAGGTTCAGAGAAGGTATTGGAGGAGCCTGAGTGTGCTAAACGTGGGGAGAACAAAATCGAGGACGTTATCAGACCGCAGGAAATCGTGAGCAAAGAAGGGTTCAAGTGGATATGGGGATTAAAAATCCCTGCGTATGTACCCATACATCCCTATTTATCCCGAAACATCTCAGCATCCCTCGACATATTTCCAGACGCTGGCACCCAAAAAGGGAACATACGTTTGACAACTTCTCACACATTCCTAATACCCCTGCACCCGAAACCCACATGACTCTTACATATCAATATAGAAGCCTCTATATCACCCTATAACACCCCTATATATCCCCACAAAGCTACTATTATCCCTACAGAACCCTGTATATATATATATATCCCCCTCTCTCTCCCTCTCTCTATCTTCTATCGAACCCCTACATATCCGTATAGACCCCAATATATCCCGAAAGAACCCTAAACCCGAAACCCTAATTCCTAAACCCTAACTACATATCAAGCCCTAAACTCCAGACCACAACATATCCCACACAGGCGAGGGTCAGGCGTAGACCTGCCAGGCTCCGAGTAGGTCACGGTGAGCTTGGGGCCTTTTCCTGACCAGACATACCGAAACGTGAAGGGAGTTTTCAGCCTCACGTAAGGCCTTTATGGGCTATGTAAGGCTTGCATGGGGACAACTACCCATCTGAAACTTCCTTTAAACAACTGGGGGGGCCTCATGGAACCGCTAAAGGGGTCATAGGGCGTTTTGAGGGTTCGGCCCCTCAGGCAAGTACTACATGGGTATATGTCATGGGCTTGGACAAAGGACCGAGGGGCATACTTTCAGAAATTTGGGCAGGGTTTAGGGTTTAAGGTTTAGGGCTTGGGGCTTGGACTTGCAACTACGGACGGGAGGAAGCAGCATCGCATTGTCAGCACACGGCCATTGCTAATGTGGGTCTGGCTAGGTAGAAACGATAATGTTGACATTTTAACATACCCTCAACAAGCGGTGCGTCAGGACGATCGGATAAATCCAGGACCACTTCTACTGTAAATATGGTAGTTCACCTACATTCTCGAACCCCAATGTAACCCCCAAAGACAACAATTCTTGTCATGGGGACCACCCGAAAAGTACCCCTAATTTTTGGGAAGCCCCCATATATGCATCCCCCTTTGAAGACTGTTCGAGGGTGGGGCCGCCGCACATCCCTCTGCAATAAACCCTAAAACGATAAATCCTGAATCCTAAACTCTCAAGCCTAAACCTTAAACAGCCAGCCCAGCATCGCGCTGAGAATTTCCAGCCCAAGCTTGCTGCCGCCTTTCCAAGCCACGTTGATCTCGCTACCATATGAGCTACATAGTCTAAATTCCCAGTATCCCCCTGAATAACCCCCATCTAATCCCTGCATAGCCCTGTCAAGGAGTTTCGACTATAGCTCATATGGTAGGGCGAGATATGGATGTTTCCCCTGTAAAGAGATTCCTCTTCTAATCCGGGTTCCTGCAGAAATTTCCCCCATTCCGGGAACAGAAAGGTAGGCCATGTCAAAAAATATTGGACAAGAAAATGGAAACCGTGTGTTTTTTACGCTCAAGTGTCTAGCAAATGGAAAACGATGAGAAGTCCTCATTATTTGGGGGTGTGGTATATTGTTGGGATGCATGATTCCATTCCCCACAGCAAGAGATGTTTGTTCACGAGGTCACCCCAAGAGGCACCCCTAGAAAAAAGTCTCTGGGATGGGAGCTTTGAGTTCAGGTTTTGCCGGGCTCAAGTTTTGGGGTGACCCTAATGTGACCCTAATCCCAAGCAACTCAGCCGGCTTCAGGCCACAAGAGACATCAATGATGTGTTGAACTGCAGCGACCTCTCCTTTACGCACCGCCGTGCGCAGCTGTTCTGAAAAGCGATTTGTGGCAGCTTTCTACTAGAGCCCGTCTCCTACTCCAACCCTTAACAGACTCACATGTCAACAGCGACTGCTGAAGGATATTGCACGAGTTTTTACATTCCGGGCATGGGAGCTTCCCACTTGAGGACCCAAATTCCTGGAAACCATAAGCTTCCTTTCCATTTGCAAACTTGCACATGTGAGCTATAGTCTAAACTCCTAGTATCCTCCTTAATAACTCCTCAGAATACTCCCCTGTATGACCCCCTATAGCTCATGTGGAGAGCCGACCTTGACGAGAGCGTACTCATCTGGACTCTCAGCTTCGTAGCTCCTCAGCACTCTTTAAACTGTAGGAGACAAAGCATGCTCACTACATTAAACCCTCGACCACAACATCTAAACATAGGACACTTTGTGGATGTTTCTTGACAGGTAGCCTTCAAAGGGCCCTCTTCTCAGGCTTCATGTGCGAGTACCCATGGGCGGTGTAATTTCACCTGGAAGCTTACCAACATGATGCTTCCCAAAGTGAGGAGATCTAGCAATACAAGAACCTTGAAAAGAATGGAGTCCAGACCCACACTGTACTGATCCTGGGGAATCCCCAAGGATCACGGAAGGCGGCTACTTGGCCAGAGGGCGCCACAGAAGCCTCTGTAGCTTAGACATCCAAGAACTCATGTGAAGGAATCTCGCAGACAGCAGCAAAATCGCAGGTAAAATGACTGAGCTGACAATGTCTTAGGTCATAGCCTGGAAATTCAAATGCATCGCAGCTAACAACCCTAGGTCTTCAAAGATGATACGGGCCATCTTGGTCATCATTCAGGATCCTCTACACTCTAGTACACGAAGTGGTTCGCGGACTACAGGCTCCAAAGGAGGCATTTACAGCCAGGTTCAGATGCCTCCTTACCTAGAGTCATCCTTTTCGCCTGAAGTAAAGAGACTGTCACCTCACACACTAAGACAAGTATTCGCTCATTAAACATCTCCCATAAGAGACCTTATATATCCAGGGCCAAATCTATTCTTAGGGATGGGGGAAGGAATTTTCAGTATCAGTATGAAGGGATTATTCTCACTGTAGTAGAACTATACCAGAGGGGGAATGTGTGAGTATCATAATGTAGTACGAGTATATTGTGGGAGGAACATGTACGCGCTCATTACTATAGGGCCTCAGGGTTTTCGATGAGTGGCAGAGGATCAGTGAGCGTCATGCATCACCTGTTCTTATCTCTAGCTCGACCCAGAGGCACCGTCAGCCCCTGTGAAAGGAGGTTGCCGAAGCGTATATCAACCCCAGAGCCGAATCCTGATCACAGACACCCAAAAAGTACGCGGAATCTTGAGAATCTTATCCCGTCAACTATCGCAACCCTAAACCCTAAATCCCCAACCCAAAGCTCTCAAGCCTACAGCCAAGAAGAGACGAGTTTCAGCCCATCCTCTGTCTCCTGACCGCACAGAGTCAGGGGTTCGACAAGGTGTAAGATACTTGAGGTTCACAGAGTAGGGCCTGAGATACTTAGCACCTGGAGTGGGTATGAACCATAGTGCTTTACCAGAGGAACTCTTTCTTTAGGAGATCTCACAGAGCCTGGGCTGGCTCATTGCTGCAACGCAAGCCTTGCGAGGGAGTAGTCCCCATAGACCCCAAATGCGAATCTTGTGTCCTTAGAGCGCGGTTGGCTGAAGGAGTCGCAGGCTTCCGTGCGCATTGTTGGGTGTAAGGTCTGGGCCTGGATCTCCAAAACTCCCAAAAAGTAATGATAATTGTCCAATAAAATGGAGCTATAGACTACTAAGGGGTCTTTTCTCGAAATAAACCATCGGTACCCCCTTAGGAACCTTGCACATCCTAAGCAACATCATGACATTCCGTGGGAAATGCGGTCAGCCTTCGTCATTGATTTTGTGAACGGGTACGGTAGGCATTGCCCAAAGGAAATGTTCGGCAGAGTGGGAGAGTCATTGCCAGTCAACTGGATGAGCTAGCACTGGCAGCAGACTTGGCAATTGATTGTAACTACACTGAAACCTCCTGTCTATCATAGTAGTCTTTCCAGCTTCAAAGGTTCACAAGAAAAAAAAGACAGAGGGAGAGAGAGAGAGAGAGAGTTCAATCTTCAGAACCATGCAGGGCTTACAAACCCCCGCAAATCATGACAACGTGACAACCCATAGGGCCTCGCTCTCTGTGATCATCACGCTATGGGCGACCTGGGATAATCATGCTGTACCCGCGTGAACCCCAAAATGTAGTGTACAGCATGTCAGGCTAGTAGTGCATGGGCTTCCCAAGCATGCAGCACAATGCCAGGTCTCCAGCAGCTTGCAGGAACAGAGTAACCTTCCCCCAAGTCGTCTGCGGTACCGTGTGGGTAGTTTCTAAGATTGGGGTCCGGTTTTGGTACCCAAAGATAGTCGGTGCTGTACAAGAATTGGATCACAAAATCAACTGCCAAAAGTGTGGAGCAGGGCTCTTCGGCGCGTGAAAAGTCTGGCATCACGGCGCAGGTTCTAGAGTGGACTAAGTAACTTGAACTCCCTGCAAGCACTGGCGCATGTCATTTGCCATCTGTTTTTTCCATCTGCTTCTCCACTAATCCCGGGGGGGGGCGAAATGTCCCTGAACCCTAAACCTTCATCCCTAATCCCGAAAGCTTGAACCCCAATTCCCAAATCCTCAATATCCCCAAACCTAAGCCTTTAAACTTTGAAGCCTCCATCACTGAACTGAGGCTGCAGCTGCAAGAACTTCCAGAAAGGGGTTGATGCTTTTCATGTCGCGAGCCCGAGCATCCTGCCAAGGCGAACCAAGAAGTCTTTAGGGTTTAGGGGTTTAGGGTTTATGTTTTAAGGGTTTAAGGGTTTAAAACAAGAAACACTTGTGGGATTCGCGCTTTCGGCTTTAGGCGACCAGCGGCCCCGGGCGGATGCCTTCGGGACCTGGGTTTAGGAAGTAGCACGATGATGGTTTAGGGTTAAACCCAAAACCCTGAAACCCTAAACCTAAACTCCAGCGCATACGCGGTAAACATATCACTGAACACTGGTGTTACCTATCGTGATGACGACAAAAAAGTACCGGATATATCTGATTATAACTTAGGTTGTTCGTAGCTACAACTCCTGTGACTTGAGGTACTTCATGTTTTGCAGGATGTGCTCGATGAAGACGCTAAGTCCTGCACCCTAGACCCCTAAACTGTGCGTTTATTGCAGGAATCCCTTCATCGCCCACGTCCTGCTGCCTAGTAGGGAATTCAGGATTGGGGGTGCAAGGACTACCATAAAGATCTACAAAGAAATATATGTGTTAACCTGGAACCCTATAAACCCTAAAGAACATAGAATATGTACAAACTACTATAGGGACTGATTCCCCATTCCCTACTGAATACAAACAGTCAAGCCCATGTAGTAGGGTAATTCGGACGAGTCCAATTCTTGGAAGAAAATTTGCCATCGCACAAGATGTTTCAAGAAAATACCGTATAGTTGAACATCATTGTAAACTGCAGCTACATCGTGCATCAGCATACCTAACCTCAACTTCTAAACCCGAAACCCAGAACCCACGACTACCCTGACTTCGACGGTTTGCTGTCCTCCCTGGGACTAGGTAGGTAGGGATATCAAAACAGACTGTCGCAATTATAACTACAGGAGACTATAGGATTCTACATGGCTATACTCTGGGGTTTAGGGTTTAGGGTTTTAGGGTTTAGGGTTTAGGGTTCCCCAGATGAATGTCTATGTACTCCTATACTAGACAGCCCTTTCAACATTCCCTCCCAAATAACTCGGATCAACCCTAAACCGCTCCGGATGCCTGTGAGATTGCAAGAGGGTTGTGAATGTTTTCTTTGAGGTTATGGGGTTAGGGTTCCTCCCCCGAACTGACCTCCCTAATACACAGTAAAAAGCTATCCCTGTGCCAAAGAACTCTGAACATCCCTAAACTCTGCAAAGACCAGTGACCCTGAACTTCCCTTCAGCTCACTCATTCTAATGGTGTGTCTATCTGAGGACTTTTAGAACCCTGAATCCAAATCTAAATTGTGCTATGGTAGATGAGGGGCCTCCGAATTGGGCAGACCCCTTAACAAGAAAATTATAGCTGAATGGAAAGGCTCTAAGAGACTGTCTGCAAACCCTAAACGCCCAAGCCTACATAATGCTTCTTTCTCGTCAGATTATGACTCACAGGTTTAAGGTTCGGGGTGTAGGGTTGCGGGCCTACCTGGGGGATTGTCAAAATTATGGTCCCTTTTTGGGTCCCTATTATAATACGGGGCCTAATACGGGGCCTAATTTAGGGGACCCAAAAGGGACCATAATTTTGACAATGCCCCACCTAATGAGCGCCTTCTCCAACTCCTCGCGGACGGCTTTCAGACCCGCCGCACCCAGAAATGGTCGCAGCACCACCTCGACGAGTTTAGAGTGTAGCTCAGATAACCTTAATAGGGGAATGGTGAGGGAACCCACGATGCCTACCTGCGAACCCCTTTCAATCAAAAGAAGGTGGTGTTTGAAACAAACTCAAAGGGACATATAGGGAATCCTGGGCGAGGGTCTAGATTTTAGGGTCACAGGCTTATGGCGTTCACCATGGGGCTCTGCCTAAACTACCCAAACTCGAAACTCGATATTTCCGGCATCATCATAATAAAAACACGTGGCAATCAAGTCATTCTCCCTCCGGTTAGCAATTACCGAAAGAGGTTCCTGGATTTATAGTAGCCCCCAACAAATCACCCCTACGTGACCGAAACCCCAAACCCTAAACCCTAATTGAAAGGAACCTTAAACGGACGGTCCTGAAGCCACATAGAGGTGTATCTGCAACTAGTGCCCAGTTATGAAGGACTGAGGGCTTCGGGACTTCGATTTCAGTATGGAGGGGTGTAGGGGTGCAGGTAATGCCCCTTACAGGTGTATAGGTGATTATAACACATTTGTGAGGGTTTTAGGGTTTAGGGCTTGGGGATGTTTAGGGCTCCGGGATTCGGTTTTTTTACAGGTGTCGGGGTGTAAGTGATGGCATGCTATTGCAACCTCTCCCACTGAAGAATGCTCCAGCACATGCGCAGGTGAACAGTGGGTGTCACCTTAGAAGGGTTTAGGAGGTGGGTGGTTGTCAAATTTATAACCCTTTTGGGGTACCCTAAATATTAGGTGCCGTATAAGAATAGGGATCCAAAAAGAGACCATAATTTTGACAATCACTCATGTAGGGTTCAAAAAAAGATCAGAACCCAATTGAGGCATCCCGAAAATGTGTTAGCTGCCCTCTGCTAACCTTTCACAGCTTCTGCTGGGCCTGCATCAGTGTGCTCGAACAACTCTTTTACCTGCTACGCATGGCATCATGCTGCTACGAAGCGGACCTGGATGGCTTGTACACGCAGAACCTCCACAAACCGCAAATCTTGTCGCGTAAATTGAAAGAGGGTACTTGGAGGCCCATGGGACTTAGTAAGTACTTATAACTGGGCTTATAACCCTAATTATTTTTGCTAGTGCCGTGCGCGCAACGCTGCTTGTGCGCGCTTTGGCGCCTGCCCTTGAGAGGAATCACTGAGCTTCCTTTTGATCATCACATAACGCCAGTTTTTGTTTGAGGCGGTATGGTCTAGGAACTCTTCCGGATAGAATCTATGACAACATTCTTCTAACCAATACCTACCTCTTCCTCTGCACCTGCCAATGGCTTTGATGCGGTCCTTGTATCCGCTACAGAAGACTACGTTATGTATAGGCGCTTGCATGCCGGCGAGGAAAACTTCAGAGGGCATTTTATGTTGTAGTTGAATAATGCTTTCAGAAGGGAGTTTGGGCTTACCTGCGTTGTGGTAAACAGTACTGTTGCTGATCCTAGAGTAATAAGAGGCTTTAATTCCTATAATTCGACGAAGGAACCTGAAATAAAAGCCGTCAATACGTTGCAGATTCTTGTCAGTGAGGGCGAATGCGTCTAGGCCGTAGGTAAGAACTGCGGGGAACGTAGCCTGAAAGATACGCAGCTTGGTTTTAACTGGAAGGGAGCTATTCCAAACTAGTCTTAATTTCTTATAAGCCTGTTCCGCTAACGCGCTGCGGTGCTTAAAGGTGGTACCGAATGAATTTTTCCAGGAGACCATGGAACCCAAATATTTGACCTGAGTACTGGTAGGAACTTTGTAACCATTCAAAATATACATAGTCGGAGCGGTGTGGTCTGGATGATACAGTAACTCCGTCTTGCCGGCGTTCAGAGTCATCCCGTAGAGCGCGGCTTCCGTTTCTACTTGATGCAGTATGGACTGCAACTGCGGTATGGTCACTCCCAGGAGCAGGGTGTCGTCTGCGTACTCAACGTCAAAAATAGGCCTATTTACCGACCAAGTATTAGTAGGAACCCCATCCCTAAGTAGTGCTTGATCCACGTCTTCCAGAAGAACAGTTAAGACCATAATGAAAAGATATGGACTTAGCGGGCAGCCTTGCCTGATACCCGCTCGTACCTCCCCCTGTGCCAATACCCCGTTAAGGCCTTTAACCTCGAAAGTGGGTGCATCGTAGATGGAGTGGATGATAGCCAATAGGTCTTCGGAGATGCCAAATCTACGGAGGGCTATCAGCAATGCGTTGTGGTCAACGGAATCGAACGCCTGTTTCCAATCCAAAAAGAGTAGGTGGAGTGGTTTATCCGTAAAGTCCGAAAATTCCATTGCCCGTCTCAAGTGGAGTGCATGCCGCGTTCCCCGAGACTGCCTAAACCCGTACTGCGACCTACGCAAGGACCCGTCCAATTGAGATGCTATGCGATTCTGCAGTATAGATGCAAATAACTTGTACATAGTATTAAGCAGTGAAATTGGTCTATAATTAGCGGGGTCCGTGTCCAATCCCTTACCCTTATAAATCATGACGACTGAAGCATGTTTCCACTTGTCTGGAACGCAACCTTCTACCCAGATATCCTGAAAGATCTGCGTGAGTTGTTCTTCCCCGTGTCTGTCCAGCCAAATGAAAAGTTCGTTGACGGCTAGGTCCGGGCCAGGTGCTTTGTTTTGCTTGAGTTTTCTGATTGAGGCCTGCGTTTCTTCCAAGGTGATGGGACCAAGACGAGGGAGTTGTGGTCTGAGCAGAGGTCTTTCCCTTAGTTCCTGAAGATTTGCCTCTGTTGTAGGAGAGTGACTGTTCTGTAAGTGGTCTCTGAGGGCCTCATGGGTTTTGGACCAAGGCACCGGCTTAGATTGCACGAGTAGATGTTGCTTTCTGGCTCTGAACCCTTGTTTTTGTCTTCTAGCGGTTTTCCAGACTGTAGAGTGCTCTGCTACGGGGTCCCGCATAAGCTGATTGTGCACCCAGGCGACTCTGTCCTTTTTAGCCTGCCTCTTAGCAGCTAAACGCAAAGACTTGGCATTCGGGTCTAAGTTGGCCTCCGCCTGCTTAGCCTGCTCTAGGAGCTGTAGTGTTTCTTGCTGAACCCACGGAGTACGGGGCGCGTAGGTCAGGGGAGTGAAGGATTTAACTGCTGCTTGCTTGAGAGTTTCCACAAATGTCCCCGCGGTATGGTCTGTAGGACTGAGTGCGCAGGTCGGAAGAGATACTGTGAGAAGTCTGCCACCCATTCTTTCTTGAGTGTCCTTACCCTGGTCCGCCAGTTTATCCGCCCTTTCGTTGCCCTCAACTCCTGAATGACCCTTAACCCAGCGAAAAGAAACCGACATGTTAGAAACTCTTAGGAGGCCCCGTATGTGATTGACCAATACTTTGTGGCTGCTAGCTCTCCATTTCCCCGTGATGACG